CTTTCTTTCTTTCTTTCTTTCTTTCTTTCTTTCTTTCTTTCTTTCTTTCTTTCTTTCTTTCTTTCTTTCTTTCTTTCTTTCTTTCTCTTTCTTTCTTTCTTTCCCTTCCTTCCTTCCTTCCTTTCCTTTCCTTCCTTCTTTCTTTCTTTCCTTTCTTTCTCTCTCTCTCCTTCCTTCCTTCCTTTCCTCCCTCCCTATTTTTTTTTTTTTTTTTGAGACAGGGTTTCTCTGTATACTCTTGGCTGTCCTGGACTCACTTTGTAGACCAGGCTGTCCTTGAACTCACAGAGATCTGCGAGCCTCTGCCTCCCAGGGTGCTGGGATAACAGGTGTGTGCTACTGTCCCCAGCCCTAATCACACCTATGGTGTTTTTCTTTTTAGCCCAGGATGGCCTTGAACTTGTGATCCTCTTGCCTCTATCTATAAATTCTAAGATCATTCATTGTCAACTATCACCATGCCTGGCTGAGTTTATCCATGTTTAAGGAATAGAAAGACTTTCTCTAAGGTAATTTTATGTTGCAGCACCTTGTTTTCCTTGTGTCTCTGCATCTTTGCATGTGTATATCTCAGTGGGTATCTGTCTGTATGTATGCAAGCAGTCTATAAGCACACATGTGTAGAGGCCACAGAAGGATATTGGGTGTCCCACTCTACTTACGCTCTGCTTTATTCCCTTAAGACAGAGTTTATCGGGCTGGAGAGATGGCTCAGTGGTTAAGAGCACTGTCTGCTCTTCCAGAGTTCCTGAGTTCAATTCCTAGCAACCACATGAAGCTCACAACCATCTACAACATAATTTGATGACCTCTTTCTGTTGTGCAGGTGTACCTGCAAATAGAGCACTCATCTACATTAAATAAATAAATTAAAAAAAATTGTGTTCATATTTGCTATATGCAGTCACTTTAAAAAAAAAAAGACAGAGTTTATCACTGAACCTGGAGCTCACTGTTTCAGCTAGAGAGCTGCCTAATGAGCCTCTGAGATTCTTCTGTCTCTGCTTCCAATAGAGGTTGGGTAATAGATATATATGCAGCCACATCTGGCCTTTATTTATTTATTTTGAGACTGGGTCTTACTATATATTCCTTTCTTGTCTGGAAGTTACAGAGTTCCTGAGTGCTGGGATTAAAGGCATGAGCCTCCACACCTGGCCTCATCCCTGTCTTTTTTCTTTTTTTACTTCGGTGTTGAGGATCCAAACTCAGTTCCTCATGCATGCACTGAGTGCTCTTAGCCAGAGTCCCCACTCCATCCGCCAATGTTATCCCTTTTAATGATCATATAATAAACAATGATTAAATTCTATTCCTTATGAAATAAACATTAATTTAAGAAGTCACAGTCTGAACCTTTTCATTATGTTAGTAAACCCTATTTAGGTCTCCTTCATCCTTGACAGGCACCTCTGTGGTGCTCTCCTTCAAGCTGTTACAGTCAGAACAGCATTCCCATGCTCTGTTGCATGTAACTAGGACTATTATTTGTATAACTGCCTCATCTCATCTGCAATCCAGGGAGCCAGGAACAGGTGTCAGCTATGGAAGTGATCTGCTAAAATTTAAATTCACCAGATACTGTAAGGTTACATTAATATACTATCTTTTAAAACTATTTTTTGGTGGGGATGTGTCAGTTAGAACCCAGGACCATACATATACTAGGTGAGCACTCTATTATACTACTATTTTGAGTGTGTAGCTTTCTTCATGGTATTGAAAACTGGTATTCCTAATTGCCGGTGTTGCAGAGGTAAAGCTCAGAGGTAGAGTGTACTTAGTAAGCTCTGTGTCCAACCCAATATCAAAAACCAGACTAATTCCTTGGCCCTGGTCAGTGACTGGGGCTGGGCAGGGAACAGGGTGGTGGTACCTAGCAGGGTAGGGTTGTTAGGGCTGTACCACAACATCTTGAACCATAGCCCATATTTATACTTTCTGGAGTTTAAAGACTGCTGGGAATTGGGTAGAGTGGCTCATGCCTTTAATTTTAGCACTTGGGAATTAGAGGCAGATCATTGTGAGTTCACAGCCAGCCTGGTCTACACAGTGGGTTCGAGGACAGCCAGAGTTACATAGTGAAGCCCTGTCTTGAACAAACAAGCAAGCAAATAAACAAAACAAGCAAGCCAGCCTGAAAGATTGCTAAAAAATTTTATTCGGAATTAAATGTGGCTTATATGTACCCAGAGCAGACTGGAAACAGCAGATAGTCACTGCTTCCTTAGAGCCTACTGTGCAAACCCATCAGGCCTCCTGGAGGGTGGAAGGTGTTATCTTCCCCTCAGAAGCAGCAGTTAAAATTCAGAGGTCCCAAAGCTACCCTTTTAAAGCCACAAAGTGAAGAAGGAAAGATGTGAATCCAGGTTTGACTTTAAAACCTACATTTTAAAACTCTATACTGTCATGCCATTTTGAAACTAGTCAAAAAGCCAGCATCTATAAACTTCTTTAAAAAGTAAGAAATCTAAGCCAGCTTGACAGCAGTTCAAGTCACACAGCCACAGTGGGGGCTGGATGTGGTTCTGCTGACATTATGGTTTAAAGCTTGACTAGGAGACAAGGGATGAATAAGACGATAAATAGATTTAGATTAAAAAGATAAAGCCAAGTATTAGCAAAAATACACAGCTGGCAGAACCATTCTGTTCTGCTGGTGAGAATTTTTCAAAAGTTAAAGAAGCATGTTAACAGAGAAATAAAAACTGCACAGGAGACATGCACAGGGATGAGCTCACATCACTATTCTACAGTGCCCTAGAGATTCCCAGATTCTATATCCTAATGAGCTTGCAACAGTTCAGTGTTTCCCCCTTCACTTGGTGCTCACAGAGTATCAGGATATGAAACAAAAATGTAAGACAAATGTGCTTTTCAACTACCTGTACCTAATTCCCAAACCCTGGCAAGAGGCTGATTTTTGCCTTCATCCTCCAGTGTGACTGTTGACTGGGGCAGGAAAGTGCTCGTGATCTTTTCTTCCTTTACTGCCCCCCACCTTCTAAATATAAAAGCCATATACAGGGGTGCACACCTGTAGTCCCAGCACTTAGGAAGCTGAGGCAGGAAGAGTGCGAGTTCCAGACCTCCCTGCTTATGCACAGCAAGTTTCAAGTCAGACTGGGATACACGGTGAAACTGTCACTTTTCCAGAACAAAGCAAATGAAAGGAAAAGATCTCAAAGGGGCTGTCACTTGTAGCTCATTGGT